GAATGTAGAATCTTTGGTGCTTTTAATCAACAACACGGAGATAGATGTCCCCCTGTGCCCAGGCACACAGGAGCTATAACGAAGGTCCTGTGGCAAGAACATCATCTTGAATTTTCTGCCGCATCTAGGTAACTAACAAAAGTGACGATGGCAAAGACAGACCCGGACGCTTTCCGGGAAAACCCAGTCACCGTCCTACTCAGTAGAGCCCACGGCGCACCAGATGCTCCTGGTTCCTTTGTGCGCATGTCTGGCCCTGCCTGCCCTTCCTCTCCGGACCCTCGCGTACCGGTTCTCCTCCGGGATGTGGAGTGCCATCATCTGCAGGGGCTCCAGGCACTGGACCGCCCAGCCGTGGCGCTCGCTCACCCGCTCCGTCTCCACCTTCAGGAAGCTGCTGGGCATGCGGCTCCAGAGCACCGGCTGGATGGTCTGGACGTCTAGCCGAGGCGGACACTCTGGGACCAGGTTCTTCTCTTCGCTCTTAAAGATGGCAGCCGACAGGGGCATGGCATTCTGCAGCAAGGCAGAAAAGCATGGTGACGGTAAGAGCGTGTCAGTACCATCTCCACTGTTGAATCATGCAACTGGCTCTTGATAACCAAAATGGTTATAATGCATTCGAGACAAATCTGGAGTGGGGTGGGGTGGGGTGGGGGTTTCCAAAGGTTTTGTCAGCATGAATTAGGAGCTTGCATAATGGATTATCGGAGCAGTAATTAATTTTGCCCATACCCAGTGGAAGTGGAAGTTGAAAATTGTGAGCACACACATTTTGGCCACCTGAATTTCCTAGGCAAGTGTGGGGGTACAGGAGCACCGAAGCGGGAGGGAATTTGAGAAGGGACAGGGCTGTCTGGCTTTCTGAGGTCTGGGATTTTTTTCTCTCTCTCCTAATGGTCAAGTTTGCCTTCTGTTGCCATGGCTTTTAGACCAGGGGGCAGATCAATACCTTCAGCTTCCCAAGCTCAAACTGAAACAGAGACGTGCTGGTGGGCTGCAGGAAGACCGCGGGAAACACTTTGGTGTTGGGCTCCACCTGGAAACCAAAACAAGACGAGAAGTTGGCCGAGAGTTATACAACCATAGCAGTGTGGAGGCAACAGCCTCTGTTGTGGATTCCACCGTGTGAAATCCCGCCCCGGTACCTCTGGTGTGATCCCGTTGGAAAGCCTTCCTTTGGTGATGTGAAGGAGGTCATAGAAAGGAAGTGTGGGTCCTAAACCTCATTTGAGTTACAAAAAGAGCCACCCAGACACACATCAGGGAAAGGCCACCACCAAGGAGAGCCCAGGGGCACCAAGGCCCAACAAAGTCCACCCGGCTGCTGACAGCAGAGAGACCTGAAGGGGTAAATGCAGACTTCTCGCCTCCTGAACTAGGAGGAAATGCGTTTCTGCTCTTCTCCAGTCACCCCTTGGGATGTAGTCCCCCTGGCATTGCTCCAGCAGCACCAGGTCACAAACACGATGCCCAGTCTCTGGCTCTATTGTGCCAGACCCCAGATTTGAGCCGGGAGAGGTGCGAGTCTATAAAACTCTAGATGTGATGCCGTTCCGCCGTTCTTCATGGCCAAAGCCATCCCTGGCCTGGCCCTCCGATTCTCCGAACACCTAGTCTGTACCCTCTCCTTAGATTACAACTGGTGGCCCTCGAGCCCGAGTCTTCAGCAAGCACCGTCTTGGGGATGGGAGACAATCAGTCACATTGACCTCTAGCCTCAAAAACTCAGACAGGATAACGACCCTCCTCTGGTATGTGCTCGTGATCTGGTGACATCTTCAGAGAACATTCTTCTTAAAAAGCTCATACACACAGGTCACGTGCACTGGGATTTTGGCATATCTTTGTCGAGGGGCATGAGCCAACTCTTACAGGAAGCTCACATTCTGGCACATAAAGGGAGTCTGGATTTGGGGCTGGTGTGCTGTCCCCTGGCGAGTTACTCTCCTGCTCCCTGGTGGGCTTTTTCTCTCTCCTTTTTGTCTTTAAGATCTGTTGCCAGGACTTGATTCAGACTCAGTGACCATGGAGGAGAGGGTGGAACTGGACGACAGGTCTCCTAAAGGCTGAAATCTTTCTAAGAAACCTGTCATCTTTGTTTAAAACAATTTTATGGCCACCTCACCCACGTCACCCAATTCAATAGTTCAGGCATATCAAGAAGAATTGTACAATCAGGACATGTGTTCAAATCACAAAGCGGTTGGCGAGTTTCAACCCTGGACCTTCTGGTTGTCAAGCAGCCAAGCGCTTAACCGCTGTGCCACCGGGATTCCCTTTGTACAGAAGGCACCTTTGATCATGAGGAGATCTATCTTGTCCTTGAAATAATAGGCGTTTCATCTCTAACCCCGTGTGGAGGTCAGGCTGGGGAACTGGCCTGAGTGGAAAGCTAGGCGGGGCCCGCTCCTGCAGCAGTGTGACTGGGGTGGCAACCACCAGGGAGCCTTTCTTGAATACTCATTTCATTTCTCATCTCCCTACTGGTTATGACGGTAAGCGGGCAGGGAGAGGTTTGCAAACTGCGCCGCAGTCGTTGATGGGGAGGCCTGACACACACTGTGGGGAAGGATGCTTCTCTCCTCGTTTTGGTTACTGGTCCTTTCTGAATAGAAAGCCCGTGTATAAATATTGCCGCTGCCCTGCTCCTCTTGAGATAATTGAAAAATGAAAATGGTTACAGCACCAGAATAACAATTATTCCAACTGCTCAGACACCAGACGCCTGGCTGGGCATGTCAGTGTCTCGCAGGGAGTGAGCGGGGTACCAGCCTCCCCCAGAGCGTGGCTGGCAGGGAGCCTACCCTGGCCCATTTACAGCCACATTCCTCAGGGCCAGTCCTGACTGGGACCACCCAGGGAGTCCTCAGGATTTATACACCTACACAGAGCAGAGGCGGGGATCTAGCAGGTGGGTGCCAAAAGACAGCTCAGAGAAGTCAACTGGTCCAAAGTCACTCTGGAGCACATGTGGAAGGGGATAGAAGCTGCCACATCATCTTTACCGAGAGCCAAGCCACAGCTCCTGTGAGTGCCATGGTGACTGCTTTTATTGTATTTGTTTTTGAGGGCGGGGTTTTGGGGTTTTTTGGCTCTCCGTAGCTGGGTTAGCCTTAAAAGTTATCCAGTGCTTTAGAGTGCCCCGCAGCTCAGGGAGGACCCTGCAGTCAAACTCATTAAAAAAGTTAATGGGAAAAGTTAATGGATTCTGAAGGAGAGTAGCAGTGTATATAAACACCTTTTCCAGGGACTGAGGGGAAGGAGGAATCATGAGAAAGTACTAGAAGAATACATTATTTTCTGCCCCAAAGCCTGGTTTCTCAAAGGCCTCTTTCTGAAAATGGCTGTTGAGTGTCCAAGCTTGCCACGTGACACTGACAACAGTCCCCTCTCTCCAGGAGAGGGAGGAGGTGCACAGGGTGTCCCCCAACAAAGGCTCTGGCGAGTGCAGGCAGTTGCCTCGATACAGCGGTGATGTCTCAGGCCCAGCTGTTCCTGGTCACCCAACATCTAGCCCATCACTCAGCCACAGGCCTGGCACCTGGCGGCTCAGAGGCTCTCCTGCCTGTGGCTGACTCTGTACCCTGATGCCCTAGTGTGTGACCCTCTACCACCCCAGGTCTTTTTACAGGCCCTCGAAGGGTTCTGGTGGCTTCGTAGGTTATTTGTTGGACTGCTAACTCCAAAGTCAGCATTTCAAAACCACCAACTGCTCTTCAGAAGAAAGACTGGGCTTTCTGCTCCTGTCAAGATTTACAGCCTCTGAAACCCAAAGGGGGCAACTCTCTGTTGGCAACTACTCTATGGTGGTGTGGTTTGGGTTTGTTACTTGGGACAGCGCCCCTAGAACACTGTTGCCTTCTTGAAACACTGTCGCTTCCTCTGCCTTTCCAAAGGGATTCCCAACACTCCTCATTACCAGCCCCTCCCTCCCCACGGTCTGTGCATTCCTCAAACACATATTCAATTTCCCCATTGCTACTAGGTTTTCTGTAGAGTAGGCCTTGCCATTGATGAAAGTGAGCACTCCGGACTTCTGTCACTCTGTCCACACCACCTTGTGACTTTCCATTCATCTCCCTGGAGGGTCCAGCAAGCTCCACACAGAAAGCTAGCTCCCTATTTAGCACTTCCAGCAGCAGGCTCTGGGGTGCTCTAGGATTTTCGGTTTTTTGGTCCATAATTTGAAAAATGCTTGGTTAGACAGAATCAGTTCTGAGGCATTTCTCGAAGTTGTCTTTTGTGTGCACTGATGTTCACTGCAACACTTTATGAGGAGGATCTAAATCATGGCACTTCTCAACTTTACCCAGACACGGGGTGAAAATCTTGCTTCAAGATGATCAGGCTTCTTGCAGTGAATGACAGGTAAATGTCCCTGTGTGGCTTCTCTGAATAGGTCTTTGAAAGTTCACAGTCATAAAAGGAAGGAAACACAGTCTTTACATGGTGCATTTTTTTACAAGAATCTTGATATGATGATTTTCCCCACTGTATTTATTTCCCCCCTCCCCTACCCCCCAAAGTGGGCTCATCCACCTGAGACACTGTCATCAGGTGGGCGTACTGAGAGAGAGGAGAATGAGGAACACAGCTGTCAACTTCCAGACCGGGCTGTCATACCTGGTAGCAGGTGCCAAGTTCTCTCCCATTGGCGGAGAAGGACAGCATGCCCATCGCCAGATCCAAGAGGCAGCCGATCTCCAGGTCCACGTTACTGCGGCTTGATCTTTGGGAGTTGGCCACAATGTCCCCACCCCAGACCATGTAGCAGTTGCTGCGTTTCACACTAGGAATCAAAGAGAGAGGGACAGGCACAGAATCTGGCCGGGGGCGGTTTGTGACCACCCCCCAGGAATTACCTGCCCCAGACAACCTCCCATGAGTCTTTCCACCCCCCAATCACTTTCCTCTTCAGTGACTGCATCCAGCTTCAGCACGGCTTATTGAGGCAGGAGCCACGACTCCGCTCAGAGAGGGTCACCTCCCTCCCCATTGGGTCCAGGATTCAGCTAGCTCAGTGCCCACGCTCCTCTGTGGCCCGGGTCACAGGGGTATTGGTATTCCCACTCAGAGACGGAAAATTGAGGTCCAGAGGAGATGACTACCTTAGGCAGGTTTTTAGAGCAATTTGGCATAGAAGACAGAAATAGAAATTTGTATTCAAGGTCTCAGACTGGTGTTCAGAACAAAAGGTTATAGGACTTGAAAACTCAGGGCCTTATTCATTACAACGGCAGGCGTGGGCCCCCGGCAGACTTCCAAGTAGGTAGAGTTTGTCTCCGATGCCCTCCTACCGCCATGGAGTTCTAACCTCTGCCCTCTTAGCTTACTTCAAACTTGGGTACTTTTTCTCAGATACTTGTCTACCCCTCTCCGGAACAAAGAACTCCATTATAGGCATTTACAGTTGCATCCACTTCTCCATGATCTCATTTTCTGACATGTTGCATTTACAACAGTAAAAAAATTGATTTTGCACATTAACAATGATTGTCTGACAAGGATGAATGCCGAGGTCTCTAACCGGGTCTCTGAAAGACAGATCCTGTGTGCCCATAGAGAGAAAACTGGTATGATGTCTGAGGTGGAAGGAGGGAGGAAGTGTCGTCTTGCTGCTGTGATACCCAATGGCAGGTGGGGCTGTAGTAAGGCTGGCAGGGACAGGACAGTGCTCGGTGGGTCCCAGGTGACCACAGGGCATGGGGGCAGTAGCATCCAGGCCACTCTCAGGGCTGAGGAGGTAGCAGGACCCTGGGGTTTGGCTCGTCTTCAGCCTCAAGGGATGGCAGGAACAGTGTGAGCCAAGGTCAGAAGCAGCCCTATTATAGGGTCCTGGGGTGCATGGAGTCCCATGGACCCCACATTGCCTGACTGGTACATGTGCATTAACATACTCTTCTTCAATGCCAGGTGAGGGTGGGGCCAGCAGGTTGAATGGCTATCAGTTTAAGATCCAGGGCACTCGGCCATCATGGACTTGGAAGCAGCTCTGGATGACCAATTCTCATGGGAGCACAGAGGAGGATGTGGCAGGGCCAGTTAGTGAGAACCAGGAGTGCTTGGGCAACAGGCCAGTGGGCAGCAAATACCATCCCCGCTGAGGCACCCATGCCTTCCATGTGCAGACAAGGAATTGATTTTGGAATCTAACCATGTCACTGAGGAGTGGGTTTAAAAGCAAACTATCTGCATCTAAAAGCCTTTAAGTTCCAAAGAGTCATTCCTTAATTTTAAGATTTCAACTCCAATGGGCTTTGGACAAGATGTATGGGAGAACAGGTGATTCCAAGTCATAGACATTGGACGTGGTTAAGAGGCAGCTGGATGGGTCTCCTCCTCCATCTGATGCTGGCATACATCATGGGAGAGACCCACCCTATCAGGTCACGTTGTACGATTCTTCCCAGGGTAAATGAGAGTGGTTCTGCACACAATGCTAGCTCTTTTAAACACCCTGCGGTCGATCTGCTGTGATTCAGCTGGGTTCCCCGTTATACTGCTCGGCTCTGTTGGGGACAAGGATTGTGGCAGCAGCACCCTGGGACAGACTCTCTGCCAACTCAAAGTTCCTTTACTTCTCGACTGTTCTCATGTAGAATGCAAAGGGTTTGATTAGGATTCTCGAAGGCCCCTTCTAGCTCTAGAAGTCCTTTTCTCTCATGGCTGAAAACACCCTTTGTTAACACCCATTTCTTTCCTCTCCTCTGGGGGCTGTTTTCTCAGAGTGAATAACCTCAGGAAGGGGCCAAGTTGCTTCTAATGAGTTAGAACCACTGTTACATTTCCGTAAAGGTTAAAGGGCAGCCAGGCTAATGATTAAAGTACTATATGCATGCACAACTAATACGGAATTTGATTAACAAAGCATTGAAGCCGTGGGAGTGTGAAGTGGTGGGCTTTCGTCGTATGTTAAGGGACCAAATTTGAAATACCCTAAACAATGTGAACATCGCTCTTGTACTTTTTTTCTTACCATGCAGGACAGAATTACCAAGTATTTAATGTGTACTGAGACTTACTTTCATAATAAATGTTCAGATAAACCAAGAAATCTGACCAAGGTAGCAGAGCAAGCAAATGGGGCAATAAGACCAAGCAGGTGGATGTCTCTGCCCTTTGTTCTTCTGGCTGAAGAACACACTCTGGATTGGCCCGTTGCCTTCCCATGCTTCTCTCAACTAGATGCTGCTTACAGCATCTGTGCCGAGTCCCTCCACATGATGGACATTCCATAGCGACCATAACATCCTTGCTTTCGATTTCTACTGAAATCAACCCTCCGTGCATCGGAGTACACCTGTGGCTAATTTTCTGGAGGTAGACCACCAGGATTTCCCTACGGAGTATCGCTCAGTGAACTCTAATTGCCAACCTCTTGGCAGACAGCCAAGGGCGTTAACTATTTGTACCACCTTAGAGCACCTGACTCTACACACTACATGTGCATACAATAGCTGTTATTTATTGAATACTTGAGCCCAGCCACTGTTCTAAGCATTTTCCTGTGTATCAATTCACCAAGTCCTCACAATCATTCCAGGAGATCTGTATGATTATTTTATAAATCAGGCCCAGGGAGCACCTTGTTTTTACATCTACTAAATCGATAGTTTGACACTAAGCCCTGGCACCTTGTTTATGACCCAGACAGTTTGCTTCCAGAGCTCAGGCTCTTGGACTCTTCCCCACCACAGTCTCTGATAACCCAGCGATGTAACCGACCTCTGACCCCTGGGTGCAATGGGCAATGACATGTAAAGAGCATCGATTTTACAATGTTCCTGACTACGTGGAGGAAAGACTGGCTTGAGGAACAACTTACTGGCTTGCAGATGCATGTCTATAAAGGGAAGAGACGTTCACCCCCCCCTCTGGGCAGGGAACATGGATGGTGATCATAGGCTTGCTCTCTCAAGGCCACCTCTCAGGCACACCTGACTGAACATTCTTGGACTGCAGTAGCAGCGGGCAGGTGAGAGGGTACAGATGGGTGTGTCTGAAACTTGCTTGTCCTCTTAAAGAGCCTTAATTTCTACGGAGTGATTATAAATGATGCTTTCCTGTTTCCAGTCCTTTAAACTTTTGAGATGGGAAATTCTAAGCTTATCAGTTGCTGTATCATGTCGACATCTTTTTATTTCTTCTGAATCAATGCCTTTTGAGCCCCCAGGGGCATTCTCTCTCCTTCCGATGCCGAAGAATTTAAGGCTTGCTTAGAAAGCAAAAAAACTTCTGAGACTGACCCCAGATCCTCTTAACTTCCCGATTTGGAGCCCTCTCTACCCTAGGGTGTTGGAAGCACGGCAAAATTACTCTCTCCGTGTGCCAGTAACACCCCTTCTCACTGCCCCAGTCCTTGTGTCTTCCCCTTGCTTTTGCAAGCATTTTCAGCATGTGGGCTTCCTGTCTTGCTCCCTTTGAAGAGGGATTGTGAGATTTCCTGCCCTCTTTTTTTGGAGAGAGGTGGTGGGAGGGGAGGTGCTGGGGGTGAGGAGCCCGGTAGAAAACCCCGCCTCTCTTGGGAGCTTCTTTACCTTTCATGGACTCGGCCCCTCTCATCTCCCAGAGTCACGGTCACTGTGCAGTTTTTATTCAGGTCAAACTTGTCACTGTACAAGTGATAGTCTGGGGTCACCCATCCAACCCAGACACAGGAGGGGTCCTGTCCAGCGAAGATGCGAATTGCGTAGTAGCACTGCTGTGGGGAGACCAGAGAGAGGAGTGAGTGGCCATAGGGCAGAGTGGGCCCCACAGGCGGGCAGGATCACGCCGCCTAATTGGCCCACAATTCTAGAGAAGACTGGTCATTCTAGACATGGATGGAGGACCAAATAGGGAACTTGGGTTCCTCAGTTCCCCCTCTTGGCTTTGCTTTAGCACCTGGAGAAGGGGCTACTCAAGCTTTCACTCCTTGTTGACGGACACAGCAGTCTCCACTCGGAATGTTCAGGACACAGCATAGGCCCTCTGCTGGGAAGCAGGACTGACCCACACTGCAGAGGACAGATGGGCACAGCCTCTGTCCTCTGAGAGGCAACAGTCAATGGTCATAGCACACTGCTTGACTTCCTATTTGCATAGACATCCTTTGCTAGATGTTGGAAGCCTTGGAGAGAGGTTGCAAAACAGAGCCTGCACTGTGGCCAAACATGCTCCCTGTGGCCGGCACGCCAAATGGCAGGCACTTCTTGGTGGGCATCACAGCAGGTTTCAAAGTCTGTCTCGAGAACTATGCATGTTATGGATAGAACTATGTACTCCCACGAGCAAGCTATGTGGAAAGAGGTCTGGACTGCTTTTTCTGTGAATGCGACTCTTCAGAAATTGCATCTTTAACGATGCTATCGGTTTGTTTAAAAATGAGCTCGGACAGAAGCAGCCTGGGTCCTAACTCAGTATCTTCATCCACATGGGTGAGAGACACTCACACAAGGAGACAGAGGAAGGCTAGCCTGTGCCACTGCAACCTCAAGCCAAGTGATGTCCGGAGCCCCGGGAAGCTGGAAGAAAGGCGGAGACAATTTCTCCCTGCAAGCCGCAGAAGGAATCACCATCACGGACATCCTGGTCCCAGCCTCCCAGCCTCCAGACTGTGAGAGGGGGAATTCCTGGTTTGTGGTCATTGGTTGTGGCAGCTCTGGGGCAGAGCATGTTAAAACAACAGCTGAAGCATGGCACAGAGGACTCAAATATGAGAACTGCAAGGAGGCTGGAGAACGGGGCGGCGTGTCCTCTTCCTGTACGAAGGGTCACCATGAGTCAGAACAGGCTCGACAGCACCTACCCACCACCACTACCCACAGAGCACTGAAGGAGGTGGTGCTCAAGATGTGACAAAGTGGAGCAAATGCACTCTTAACGAGTTGATGCTTATTGGTGGTCTGGGGGGTGGGGGGGCTGTCAGCCAGATACACTTGGGCTTGAAGGCTGAGGTTGTCAGTTATTAATTGTGTGGCTCTGCACAAGTCACTGACTTCTCTCGACTCGGCCGTGGATAATCTCATCCCTCGTGTGTGTGTGTGTGTGTGTGTGTGTGTGTGTGTGTGTGTGTGTGTGATCAAATGGAAGTTTCCCACACATACTGAGTGTGGCAATCGTAGGATCAGATGGGAGTTTCCCACACATACAGATACACCAAGGCAAGCATATTAATCCTGATGATTGCTAACCTATGAGCTTGGGATTGCATAATAACATTACAGGAGTGATAGGAAACCTACTAAATAAGCATCTAGCCAGGTGGTAAAGGGGCATTAGGAAGTGTTTGCTTTTTGACGAAAGTCTAGCTGTATGGACAGAGGACCCAAAGTGGCTCCCTTTTTCTGGGCTGACTTCCTGCACCTTCTTCTCATCTGATTGCTTTCAACAGTATTCCCGGCACAGCATGGAGAGAGGGGAGAACTGTCTCACAGAAATGTATATCAAAGAGCAAACACAAGAGTTAAATGAATCCTCCTCCCTCCCACCTCGCCCCACACACTTTCCCAACTGATGTTAGTTTCAACGAGAAAGGCATTTCTGGGTCCTTGGGGGCAAATGGGCAACAAGTAAACAATGATGTCCAATTAGGCACTTTAGGTAGACTTTCACTTGGGTTCTGAATCACCATATTTCTTTCCCCCATTTGAAAAATGCCACTTCTGGAAGCATCCTTGCTCTGGAAGAATCACGATGGATGTGAAAAGACAGAGTCATTGGCAATTAAAGAGGCGCTGTAGACAGATCTTTGCTGTGAGGGGCATATTACCAGGCAAAGCAAAGAAGCAAATAATTAAAACCATAATTGAGCACATTTACTTACTGTTGTTGTATGAGAGAGGCTCTCTTGCGTCTGTTTCCTGGGGGGAGAAGAACCCATGTTTTCAATTAGTCAGCTGGATGGGGAAGACACAGTGCCGACAGACAATTGATCTGCCTTTAACCATCCAGGGAAGCTTAGGCAGCTGGGGACTTCCTACCCATGAGCCCAACAAGTCTGGGGAGTTGTTCCTTCGTAAGCTGTTTCCATGGGTCAGAGCTCTTGTCCCTTAGCTCAGACGATAGATCTGAGTTGGGGGTTGAGGCAGGGATTGTAAAAACGGAGGTAAGGATGACGGAAAAGTGATTATTCCATTTTCCCCAAACAACTGTGCTTGTTTCAAAATATTGGTAGATTGTGAAACTTTAGTACAAATCTGGACAAGAGAGCTCCAGGCAGGAAGACACTTAACTGGTGATTAAGATAAGTGATCTAGGAAGGAAAGCCATCAATTCACTCATCCTTTGGTGGGACGTGCTCATCTCATGCCAAGACGCCACTGCTTGCCTCTAGACACGTGAAGCAGTCTCTGATTCACGTGAAGGCAACACCGCCACTCCTTCATGCACCCACATTCATTTTTGCTCCCCCAATCCAAGAACTGTGGGCAGCAAGCAGGCTAGGGGCTCAGAGAAGTCATGGCAAACCGAAACTCTTTCACCAAATGGGACTCTGGTTAGCCTAATTGACCCCTCCCAACACAAAGCCCTCATCTCTCAGCCTGCCACCGAGAGAAGCCCTGCACTGAGGGCTCACGCCTGCATCAGAACAGGCAAGGCAAGGAGAACAAGGTCGAGTAACAGCGAGCAGGGAGCCCACTTGGCAGCGGGCACAGGGAACACTTCAGAGAGCCTTGGGGGTCACCCTCACCTTTTCTGGAAGGTCTCGCTGTCCAGACAGGGGCTGTGGCTGAAGGAGGAGTGGCACTCCACGGGCATGCTCAGGCGGCAGTAGATCATGCTGGCGCGGCTGTTCTGTGTGCCGAACGTCTTGTGGGACACCTTGAGGCACGGAGGCCTGTCCAGAGTGCTGTCTATCCTCACCACCTGGAAACACCCCCAGTCCTTAGCCTGATGTACCTGAGGGCCTGACTTTGACCCTGTCCTACTTTCCCTCATTGACATAACACACAGCAAGATGTTCTGTGAACTCTGAAAGCCAGGTATCACCAGGGGCAACCAAACCTCCGATTCTCATTGCCACAGAAAGCCTGCGCTACAGACAGGAACACATCTGCTTCTCGCTGGGGGAACTGATGATTGGAAAACATGTCCATTGGGTTTGCTGCAAGCACACGGGAGAACAGGTCCCAGCCTTGGGGGAGGAGCAGTACCTGAGTGGTGGAGTGCACCATTCATCGAGGCTGATCGTCAAGAGCCCTGGTGACAGTTACACATCAGGGGGCTAACAGTAAGGTCAACAGTTCAAAACTACCAGCTGCCCCAAGGGAGGAAGACAGGGCTTTCTACTCCCATAAATAGTTACAGTCTCAGACACTCACAGGAGCAGCCCTACCCTGTCCTGCAGGATTGCTATGAGTCGGCATTGCCTTGATGGCAGAGAATCTGAGATCTGTTGGGGTAGGGGGTATTATGGATTGAATTGCTCCCCTCACCCCCGCCCCAGTTATGCATTCTAAATGCCTATCCTTGTGGATATAATCCCTTTTGGGAAGTGGACCATCTTTGTTAAGACTGCATCCACGCAGGGTGTGTTCTAAGGAGGGATATCGATGTGTTCTTTGGGATATCGACAGAGCAGAGCGGCAAGCACAGACGGAGCGGAAGACTCGGGTCACAGGACTGTCTCCAAGGAACTATGGAACAGAACCTTAGACAAAGCAAACAAAAACCCAGATCTCCTCCCAGCCAACAGAGGGAAAACGTTCCCTCTAGCTGGCACCCAGAATCCAGACTGACAGCCTCCTGAACTGTGAAAAAAATTAGCCATTTGTTAAAGCTGCCTACTTGTGGTATTTCTGTTACCACAGCACAAGGAAACTAAGATGGAGGGAAGTGGCAAAAAAAAAAAAAA